GATAGAGTCATCAAGTTTAGTTTCATTAATTGAGAGAATATCAATGGAGCGATCGGCAAGGAGAATTCTTAGTTCATCAATATGCTTTGTAAGACTATTAATGTTTAAACCTGCAATTTTAAAACCACGACCAGAAGGAAGAAAATCAGAGAGAATTGTACTTTCAAATGAATCAACGTTTTGATTAGGAATACCTGATGATACGTCACTCGGTTGAGAAGCTAGCGTGGGCGTCTCCTGTTGCGAGCTGGAGAGGGAAGGTTTCCCAGTTCCATCAGAAGCTTTACCAGTTGTTGGATAGCTGAGGACTGAAAACCCTTAAGAGACTGATTATACTTGCCAGAACCAGATCTTAAAAACTTAATAAATTGCACGGCCAGCAATGACGAACCTTTGGCATTCAGATGAAGTCTACTACCATTTAATGCTGAGGCGTCAATAACCGAATTATCAATATAAGTAAAGTTATTATCTACTGCTGTGAGCTTGACCCTCTCATTAACTTCAATGCGTTTAGCATCGACGTTGATATCTTCTCTGTAGACTATACCCGAGAGACCAATGCTTGAGTTAGGAAACTTGCTCTTCACCTTCAATACAAGGCTCTTGATATCGGCGACACATGAATCGGCAGACTCCGACGGAAGATTGTTGGTGCCAGTATGGATGATGACGTGAGAAGGATCCGCGGATGCAACAGCGATGTTGTCAACAGCTTCAGCTATTTCAGCAGTGGTTTTCCCGGGATATGAGAATTTATGTACATGTCTTTGCGAAAGCTTTTTTGGATCAATGTGTTTTATCATTGAGTCACCAATAAGCACTATGGGTCTTGTCTTTCCGACTTCACCGCTTTTGGAGTTATTTGCACTAACTCGAGAGGTATTTGCGTGCGCTCCAGACTGATGCAGTGGCATCTCAGAGGATACTTGACTCGAAGGAGAAGAGACAAGTAAGGCCTGATAGCGGTTATGACTAGTTGGAATTGAATCAAATGCCCGGCTCGCTTCAGATGAATCAACATGTGAATGTTGCTGTTGCTGTTGTTGGCGACTTTCTTCGTTATTTGCAGTATAGTTGTCCTCATTTCTCACTTGGAATTGTACCTCACTTCTAAGGGGCTCAAATCTGTTCTGAGTTACTATATTGCAGGCCGCCAACGGCCGTTGGATATGTTTATCATTCACACTTTTCCCAAGTGTGCCCACTTGGGACCAACAATCACATATCTTTTGTTGGCGGCATTCGCCCTCGCTTCTTTCTTGCATAATGATCTTCATTGCCAGCTTAAGAGAATCATTTTCTTGTTGCAAGGACAAAACTTGGCTCTCATAGGAAAAACACTTTTCCTCCAACACCTCAATTTCATTATCTTTTTTAGATAATGTCGATAACACCTTCTCATACCTCTCTTTGTAATCGAGGAGCTCGGCGCTAAAAGCGGTTTCTTGTAATTTGCATTTCGTCGACAGAAGGCTTGTATTTGCTTCAACCTTTTTCTGAAGAATTAGTAAATCCAGTTTTAAGCCCTCAATATCAGCACTGATAACCGAGTTCGATCGCTCTTGAATACTGTTCTCAAGTTCGGCGTCGGCGGCCGAAGCTAGTCGATTACTGCAGATGCCATTGGCTTCTTGCGAAGGCGGAATTTCTTGCTCGGTTGTTGAAGCATACGAGACAGGCGTATCAGCTTCTGTTCCCTGTTTATTTTGAATAAACTTGACCAACTTGTCCTTTAAGGAGGGACCATCTCGACCTTGGAAACAAAGGGTTAGCTGTTTCTTATTATACCAGTTGATGACAAGATTATTGTTAGAACTTTTGAATTGCTTTACGTTTCCTCCGGGCGACGACCACTTTCCTTGTAGTTTCAAGCCATTTTCCACAAAATTCTTTAACGATTCAAGGTTATTCGTCCACGTTAATCGTTCCCCGTTTAGCTTAAGGGATTGTAATTCGCACCATTTAAGGTTAAGCTGGTAAGACTCGGTATCTTTCGTCAAAACGGGACCAGAAGGTTCACGTCCGTCCGCCATGGTTCGTCCCTCGAGGCTTTCGAAATTACAAGGGCTTCAGAATTATTTTCCCGAAAATTTTAGATGCAATTTATCCTTTTACAAAAGTGAGAATTTTTCTGGTTCCTCTCTCAATCGCATTAATTTTTAATCCGAAATTTTAGTTTTCCTTTTCCTACGAAAAGCAGCATTACTTGGGGAGTGAGATGCGAAAAATTAAGCCTCAGAAAATCGTTGGGAATTTATTGCATAAGTTTCGAAAATTGTACATGTGTGCATGATAGAACGGTCATCTAGAAATTTGTAGCCGTCCTCAAGCAATAGAAAATTCTGGGAAATATTTGTTTCTCCGAACAGATATTTTACAGAAAACCAGTCATTGGCTGCCCCTGTGTATCTTTATTACTATTTGTGACTCCTAAATTGCAATCATTCGAACCGCCATACAAACCTTTATGAATGGTTACGCAACACCGATTCTCACTCCTTAACAACATGCCAATTACAGCACTGAAGAAAACGTACCGGCTCCGCAGTATCAACAGTACCCTATGCATGCGTATAACAATATCATCCGGGCAGTGGCAGCCGTAAACAGCTGTCTCGCTTTGTTGGGTCTCATAATCATGGCATAACCGTCGAGCCGATGAACTGACAAAGCCGTGTATCAAAGGCCCTTTTACATGCCGAGGCGAGTGCGAGTGCAAGAGCACTCCATACCGCCGAGTTAGTACATGTGCTTCAGTGCTGAAATTGGTATTATTCTCACTTGTGAGCTTGGGGAAAATGTGATAAAACGATGAAATTCCGTTGGCCCAAGAACAAGACTTAATAGAACAGGAATTTAGTGCGCAAAAGATGAAATTTGTCTTTATCTAACGTTCGCAATTCGCAAACCCCAATATTCCATTTCCCAGGTAACAGTCGCTTGTAACCCGATATATTTTCACATAAAGGTCACGTAAAGAATAAAGGTATTACACTACATCCTTCTTTAAGACGTAAGATAAGGCCGCCTAAGGCTGAGGCATTTCCTTCTTACTTCAGAAAAATTGTGATTGGCCGACGCCATGTCCTGTGTGAAGTCAGCCTGGCGTAATGAGGCCATTTCCATGGTCACTTGTGCCTTCTTTGATAGTTTACTTTCCTCTCTTTCCTGTAGGTGAAAGATATGCAGATTAATGGGCTCTTATTTTCGACGAAAGCGTTTGCCTTGTCAGGGATATAAAAAAAGGTACTGAACTAAAAATGGCACTTTCTTGGTGTTGAGGATAGCTGTGTAGAAGGCCTAAATGTAATAAACGACCCTAAATGTAATAACATTTTGTCCTAAATGTAATAAACTCATAAGTTGCAAATTACAGTAATTACTCAAATAAGCGCCGCAATGGGGGCAGGGGGGGGGGACATTTAATATGCGCCGCGGCACTTACTATGGTTTTAAGGGCCGTCCTCAGATAAGCGCCGCATTTTTGGAGAAAAAATTTCCTTATGCACTGTGTAACTTGCCGTTTACATATAAATTGCTTGTAAAGGGACAAAATAAATTAAAAGCTGTAAGCCTTAAAAGGATTTTCATACTTCATTATTTTTTGTTAAACAAATTTACTGCAAAAACCGTGGACGAATATCCTTTTGGTTGTCAACGTTGGATCTCTAGAAAAGAGATCTAATCAGCTAAAAAATTAAGAACAAAAAACCAAAAGTCTATATGGGCCTGTTTACATGGAGGTGGGGGACCCCAGGTAGGTGAGTTGACCCGCTTTGGTGGGTAACCCTCCTGTCCACATAATCTCTCATTTAAATTTGATCACCTTTACATGATAAGTGGGGTGACCCGCCGCATGTTATTTCACCTATCTGGGGTCCCCTACCTCCATGTAAACAAGCCCTAAAGACTACTGTACAGCTGATAACAACTTTTATAAATAACTAAGATAGTACGCGCGCGCTCTGATTGGCCGAGAGATGTGTTTGCATGAGAGTATGTAAACATGTGTGGAGTCAAGATGTTTTGCTCTTCGAGCGCTAATCACACAAGCACGAATTTTAAAATATTTTTTAGTTGAAAACTCGACAAATTTACTTTATTTACCCATTCCCTCGTCGGATGAAACTTAAAAAAATCTTTACAAACATGCTGTTCCAATTTTTATTTCGCTTAAGCTGACATTTTAAGCGAGAAAAACCCTTTTTTGGAATGCATCTTTATTGACAAACAAGAACTGATTACACGTACATTAAGCCTCGTGTACAAGACTTCTCGACTGGTAAGAGTTTCTCTTTTAATCAGTAACCTAAACAAAGAGTTTTTCTTTTTCTCGGGAAAGTTATTTTATAAAAGAAATAGAAAACGTTTTTTCCTGTGTTTGCATAGCCTGATATAAACACGAGAGGAGTTGACGAAGTCGAGGGTTTGCACAACTGTCTCGAATTCTGCAAACACAGGAAAAAAAGTTTTCTATTGCTTAAAAAATACCATTACGTCGTTTTACAAGCAATTTATTTTTCAACGTTAAGTTTCACAGTGCATAAGGAAATGTACCGAATTTTACGCGAATTAGTGCCGCGGCGCTTATTAACTTTTTCTCCAAAAATACGGCACTTATTTGAGCGCGGTGCTTAATACCATATTAATACCGCTTAGTACCGTATTTACACGAATAAGGGCCGCGGTGCTAATTAACTCCTCCTCCAAACGCCGCGCTTATTTGAGGGCGGCGCTTATTCGAGTAATTACTGCAATTTGCAACTTAAGAGTTTATTACATTTAGGGCAAATTGTTATTACATTTAGGACTTTATTACATTTAGGGTTGTTTATTACATTTGGGCCTTCTACAAGGTGCAATCACCAAATGACGTAGTACAAAAGAATGAAAAGCCACTGAGCAACACCCACTAGCTAATCAACAAAAGCTAACCAACAAAAGTCTTCGCAACACTAAGAAACACCCCTAAAGGCAGCCATTTCTGTCGTGCCTGAAAGTTAGTACCCATGCTCTCACCAAAATGGGACTGTGCCACCTTGCGGAAAATGCTCACCAGTTTTTGAAAATTGCTCAAAAGTAATATTTAATTTAAATTAGATCACAAAATATACCTGTGGATTCATTTGCCAGACCTGCCAAGATTTATCGAATGCACGTTTGAGTGCTTCGATTGATTGTATTCTGGTATAGGAGTGACCCGGAGAGATTGTTCTTTTGAAACCTTTCATCTCATTAGTAATACTAACATTTCACAGGGCGACTACTACTATAACAGGGGTTACCTAGTCAAAGTTGACCGATTGAATGGCAGGAAAATAACAACACATTCCAAGAAAGTTAGTTGTCAATCATAATTACCACGAAACGAAATCAACAACATGGATTGAAATCAACCAGTTACAAACTTGAGACGTGACCTTTTGAACCCTAACTGGGAGGTCCGTTAGAGTGTTGAGGGGGGCGAAAAATGTAAACGTTAGATGTATTGTATTTTATTGCAAAGCGCGGCCGCAAAATTTAGCGAAGAAATTGCTGGTAGATGACAAAATAACAACTTATGTCAAACAAATACGTCTCCTGGTTGTTAAATGAAAAGTTTCGGATAGAAAGACATTGCTGGTCTGGTGAAACATTTTTGCTTTCATAAACGTTTGCTATCAGTAATTTAATTTAGTGCTTCGAGTAACTTATTGTTTACTTACGACCTGTTCATTGGCCCACAACCAACTTTCTTGGAATGTATTGTTATTTTCCTGTAATCCAATTGGTCAACTTTGTCTAAGTGGCTCGGGTTACAGTAGTCGCACTGTAAACATACATTAGAAATTCTTTGTCAGACGGTATTGTGGAAGGAGGATGCCAATTTACCGAGCCAGGAATCGACGCAAGACTCGACAATTTTTCGCTTTCCCGCCATTTTCACCTCCTGCAAGTCACATGACCATTGTTAGTTAGTTAAGCAGTCTGCTGTCTAAGCGACAATGTCTGTTTCATGAAGAGTTCAAGGTTTAATCAGGTTCCTCCAGGTCGTTCTGTCCTTTGCTCGCTGCCTACAAGAATCTACTAAAATGTTCTTCCGCTTCAGCTTTCTTTTCACGATGTCACGCGTTGAATCTTAGCCTAGCTCGTCCTTGATTTCTCTTTCCATCGCGTAACTGGGAATACAACAGCTGCCTGGGAAGCCCGGCAAAGTTAATTCGTGGCAATCATGGAAAGTGAGCTCGCTGTTAGTGTTAAGGTTAGGGTTAGGGTTAGGGTTAGGAGTCCTTGCTCGAGTCCTGGCTTTAATTTGATCTTAGTCTATCTCTTGTGGACGTAAACAATGGCTCTAGATCAGCATGCGATTTCTAGAGTTTTTCTCGTTGGCTTATTTCGGAGCACGGTCAATAAAGATGTTGACTTTTTCTTTCGCGGAAAATTGTAACTTATTTCTCAGCAAATTTCCTCATTGTCTGTATGCCTTATCCACGCTCAGTATAATTAAATTTAAGAAAAATGAAATGAAATATTCAAGTATTTCCTTCTTACAAGATGGCCTTGAAAAGTCGATGCCAGCTCCTGTCGGACCTCATCATTGCTTTCTTCTGATAATGGAGTCAGTTCTACTATTTCATGCGATTGTTTGCTTTCCTGCGTGGTTAAATTAAATTAAATTTTAAAAAGATTTTAATACACTTCTGGCCCTTCTCTCTGTCACTCAATGCTGGAGTTTCATCATAGAGAGGTAGTTCAAGATATTTTTACGAAAAAAAAAATTAAGTGCATTTTTAAGTATGTGATTCATCCGTCTTTCTAATCGATATAATTGTTAATTGTTTAATTATTGTCAGTTTTTAAGACAACCGTTAAGGTAGCAAAATGTTGTGGAATCTTGTACTGCGTTTAAGCATGCCTCAAATATGCATTCGCCAGTTACTCTATATAACGAGAATCTGGACTTTCGATGTATTGAAGACTAAAGATAAAAAATCCCCTACCTATAGCTTGATTAAATTCAACAAATAAACTAAAAGAAGCATTGACAATAGCTCAAATTTTTGTTTTGTGATAAGCCTACTTGACCCCCAAACGTCTCTCTCATTTTTCAAAAGGTTTTTGTAGTTGACTTTCTTCAAAAAGTGGTGATGCTCTGTTCCCGAAAAGTGAAATTATTGGAGACAATTCTTACAAGCGCAAATAAACTAGAATTAAAATATTTTAGCCCCTAACTGGCTGATTAGTTTCTCACTTCGTTGCCGAGATAATAAGAAGTCGACGCTGTGTCCTCACTGTCATCCTGTAATAGTGGAGTCTTTTCCATGCTCACTTGCAATTGTGTTTTCTCCGCTTGCTTAATCTGTTCCTCAGCCACTTTGCTAACCTGTATGAAGGGAAGCAGGAAAATGAATCTTTCACAGACACGCCATCAAAAAATAGAGCCAAAACCATTCAATTCATAAGAGATGAAAGGAGATCAATCTGCAAACATTCTTGCCAAGGTTCATGTCTGAGAGGCTTTTTGCGTGACAGATATTCTGATTAACTGTGTTACCCATATCAGTGTATAGAGCTCTGCAATTGTATGGCGATATCATGTTGGCGTCCCTCTGCATAAGGAACACAAATATATAGCGGCCGGAAAATAACAGAAACATCCTGGAAACATCTGTCATTGAGTTTGCCACGAAGCGAGTAGACATCTCTAGAGAGCCCGTACAAGTAAAATTAATACTTACTCAAATACAAGGAAAAAATTCTATGTTCGCTAGAGCAAAGTCTCCAAATAATAAGTCAGTCTTTGTCGTCTTTTAACCTAGGTAAAAGCTTTCAGGACAGCGGCCATTAACGCCGCCTCATGAAATAGTAAAGAAATTCAAACTTGTTCTATCACAAAACGAAGAACCATTTCGACCGGAAACACTGCAAAAATTTTACGTCTTCAGCTGCTCTAATAGCTCAGTAAATTAAAACTCAGATTAGGCTAAATAATTCTTTTTTTTGAATTTTGATTACGCCACGTGCAAACCATGGAGCAATAATCAGATGAGTAGGCTAGATAGGTCATAAAACCAAAAAGCAGAATGAAGAATAGCAAAACGTTTTACAACAGAGCTAGTATGAAAAGTTAGATACAATTTAAGAACAAGCTTACTTGATCACTGGTTACTCCATGATCTCTCAGAGCCTTTTTGTCAGCATATGATCTCTCGGAGGCTTGAATTTCGATGATCTAGATTAATCCATCAAGTACTAATGATAAGTCGTATAACAATTTCCAATAGTACGAAAACAGATTCGGAATTTTGTCTCCCTGTACTTGTTTCACAATAATTCAGTTTTAAAATAAATGTTGAATTTCGTTCATCTCCTTACCCTTTTTCTTCTGCGGCGTAACCACGTCAGTAGGTCACCACAAGGAACGTATTCTATGACCAGGAACATTTTCTCCTGAATCGTGCAGCATCCAACCATGGATACAACGTTCTTATGTGAACCCAACAGTTTCATCTGCTCAATCTCAAACGTGAACTCTTCTTTCTGTGTTTTAGATGGATCATCTAAAGGCAATTGCATATACGATATAGTCTTTTTTATCTTGCAGTGACAGCATTATTAAGTGCTAGATTTTTCATTTGCGAAGTCATATACTTCGTCCGATTTTTATCGCACCCCACGCTTGCTTTGAGGCACAAAGTTTAGATCTATTCCACCGTTTACAGAATGTCGAGAAATATTCAGGCATTTCGTATTATACTATTTAGTTTACCACTGCATTCTCGCAGCAGCCCGGAGAGGTACCTGACCCCTGGAAAATTTGGGCGTTGGTATGGGTGAGATGTGACCACGTGATTTCCCTTACCCTATTTCAGACCTGCCGCTGTTCTTAAATGATGAATGAAAAAGACGAGTAAGTAAAAAATGAATAGTAGAATAAAATAAAATGAAAACAGGCTTTGTACCATGGAGAACAAAACCTTATCCTATTTCAGGTTTTTTTTTCTTTGACCCGAATCGTGGAAATCTTTACCCAATTTCAGACCAAAAAGGGGTCAAAAACCATTGATACCCTTTGGTCCCGCTCACACCCCCTATGGCTCTAAGAAAGCACTCCCTGGGTTTGGGTCTAGCAACCATCACGTTGAAGTCGTAGCTCAATTTCATTGTTTTATCTCCCTTCATCCTCATTGTCCTTGCCTCAAAAGACTTGCTGTGTAAACCGAGGAATTTGGATTACCAAAGAAGGAGGGAGGGGGGGAATCTATTGATTAGAGCTTGCATTATTTAAAACCAAACATATTTCAGTGTTGTGCTTCAGTTGTATCCATTGGTCAATTTCTAGTTTGTGTGTAATAATTTATAAAACTTTGCATGTGTTAAGAGCTAACTAGCTTAAACCTATTCTAGTGATAATTGTGTTCTTGACTTCGAAAATTTCAAACATAAAAATGGTTACCTTGATCCAGTTTTTAAAATTCTTGCGACGTGCACTACATGTATTATGAAGCCAAAATAACTCCTGCCTTTCCAATCATTTTCGGATATTTTAACAACGTTACCGTTGATCTATACAATCAAGAGAGGATAAAGCTCTCTCTTGATACAATATAATACAGTGTCAATTCTCGGACAATTTCGATCTAAATAGTTCAGTGCCTTTATGTGGTGCAATTAGTATAGGTAATCACATGATTTCGAGTGCAATTTGGAATAAATAAGCACGAGTAAATTTTTCAAAGACCAACAAAAGTGCATGAGCCCGTAGGGCGAGTGCAGTTTGTGGTCTTTGAAAAATTTACAAGTGCTTATTTATTCCAAATGGCACGAGAAAAATCATGTGATTACTTATTAATAAGATACACGAAAAACATAACTACAACAACAAATTTTGACAGCGCACGCGTTTTAGTTCATTTAACTGATTGGCTGAAACAGACTACTACCTTTGTCAAATTCAAACTTTTTCAAGACCAACGCTTTCAAAATCATTCAGCTAAGAACTTGGAAACGTGCAAGGGTTTTTTTATATGGTCGCCAGCCTGTTAAAGATAACTTGGTTTATAACAATCAACAAAAGCAACTGTTTTTAAATTCATCCTTTATGGGAGCTCTGCGTTTACAAGAAGCGTTTTCAAGAAGTATACTGCCGTTTTGAAATCAGGAGAACGCATCGAGCAGCCAAAGATGAAAGACACTTGCTAAGGTTTTTTAACGACTGTTTATCATTGTCTGTTCCTGATCATGAGACCCCATCACAGCTGGATTCATGGACAAATTTTTGAGATTTAAAACCCGCAAATGAATGAGGCAATTTGTTTTCCTTCAACGCTGCCATCGATGGGTGAGTGGAGGCACAAATGTTGGGATGTCGGAAACAGCCAGTATCAATATAATATTTGCTTTTTCTCAGCGCTGGAGTTTTAATTATCTTATTTGGCCTACTGCAAGAGTCATCGTAGCTCTTCGTCGACGGCTTCATCGTAGTCGTTAAGGAAATTTATACCTCTGTGGCCTGTGACACTGACGATCAATATGTTCTGAATTTACAATCTTTGCTTTCTTCAGCTTCCTGACTGTTGTTTTTCTTGCACAACGATTCGTAAACGTTTTTCTTACTTTCTTAAAGGCTAGTACCAGCTGCGGATACTTTCATTATGTGAGTACAGTTGTGGTATTTTCGCCCATGTTTTTAGTTTGGACCAAATGTTTAAATTTTCGGTTTCGTTTGCTACTGAGGTAGAAAAAAAAACTGACCATCGCATGGATGTTTTAATAGAGGTCTTCGCTCCACAAAAGACTCAAAGAGAGCAACAAATAACGTACATGACTTGAAATCCCTGTTGTTATCATGGAATTGTATCCTTGTTCATTTAAATGCCTGAAGAGTGTCGCTGTCATGGTTTTCGTGTGGTTGCAACCGTTTTTGTTCTTTATTTTTTTTACTTTAGCGTAGTCTGTTATAAGTAGCTTGTTTTTTAGTTTCTCTGGCTCATTTTCCTCGATTTTTTTGACAGCATTTTTCTCTTAGCAACGCATTTTCAATACATTTAGCCAGAAAGACGTACTTTTTACTGTGTTCGGGGTTTTTGGAATATTTTTTTAATTTTTCTATTGTTGTTTTGCTTACAAAATTAAATCCCGTCGTCGTCTGCTGAAAACCATGGCCATTTTCTTGAATTTTTGTTGTTAAAACAACTCTAATCTGATTGGTTCTTGTTGGTTTCTTTTGTGTTTTCAGCCAATCAGAAAGAAATTGTAATTTGCACTCGTGTTACAAGTTTGCACTCGTGTTTACACATTTTGCACTCGTGTTACAGAAGAGCTCCACTCCTTTCTCAGCCAATCAGAATTGAGTAATTTTTTCGTGTATATTATTAGTTTACTTAAATCCCTCAGCTTTTCTTGTTATGTGAAGAGGACTAAAGGCAACCACAAAATTTAAGACTCCATGGCTTTGTCTGTCTTTTATTACCAATTCTTACCATGTAAGACTTTGACAGCAACTACCTGAGGTGCCTTTTCTGTGGATAACAAAGGCCGTTTTGAAATGTCAGTGTCAAACACCTCCAACCCAACTCTCTTCCTAAATTTTGCTTTGTAAACCACGCCAAACGCTCCTCTCCCCAGCTCTTCGTCGTATTCTATTTGCTCAGGCAGAATTTCCCACTTGTCAAGAGGAATGATCTCGCGTTGTGAGTAAGGTAATCTGGATAAAGGGGAAAATAATGCTGAATTAATAGTCCGAGCACAATACATCGAATGCAAATATGGCGGACCTCTCGGCCGGCCCGGGTCTAATTGCGCGAAAGCGAGGCTAGTGAGGCCTCAAGAGTTTTGTTTTGACTGCGCGTCTTAGCGATTGAGTCGATCGATATGGTTTGCTTCGAGTTGTTGCATGCCTGAGGGCCACCAAAAAGAAGATTTTACTCTAGCTGGAATAGCCTTTACTTTCCTGAGATCTTTTCACAAAGAAAGTTAAGCATTCATGCGATTCGGCGCGGCGATGGGAAGCACTTTACAGCGAAAGTGTGCTCGCCTCACTTGCTTTAGATGAGAGGACTCACGAAAGTATTTGAATGAAATAATTTTCACAAGAGATGGTGTTGTTCCAAGATGTTTGCATTGTCTGTTATTTATCCAACAAAAGCTAAACATTCTCGAGAACTGGAACATCCGCTGTGGACTGTAAGATCTTTTAGATTTCACTCTGAAAACAGCTGCATTAAAATATAACAACAACAACAATAACAATCGCCTGTTAATCCTACAAGCGTGGCCTGTGAAACTATGTAAGAACCAGAAGAAAGCGACATATTTCAAAAACGGTCCTTGACCAAAGTGCATTAAAAAAACTAACAGAGGAACCGTTGCCAACTAAGAAAGTAATTAAGAAGAAGGAAAAAGGTTCTGGCAGAGAAAGAGCGTGCAAGTATTCGAGCATTGTATTTGACCTTGCGCGTGATCTACTTTAGCAACTTGTCGAATGGTTTCGAGATAAACTAACAGCGATTTTCCAAACATTGCTTCTTTTATGGCACTGCTCAAACCCTTGAACACAGGATCGTGAAGACTGTGAATCCATTTCTTTCTTCGTAAGGAACCTTGGCAGAACCTTGGCAAAGGGAAGATAATTAACTTTCGTCTCTGCTGGAGTTAAATCTCCTCTTTGATGGCTCTTAAGCACGTAGCAACTCGAAGGAAACCATATTGATCGACTAAATCGCTAAGACGCGCAGTCAAAACAAAACTCTCGAGGCCTCACTAGCCTCGATTTCGCGCAACTAGACCCGGGCCGACCGAGAGATCCGCCATATTTGCATTCAGTGTATTGAATTACTCGAATACAGTAAACCTTACCAACAATTAAAAACATGGTGCTTGTAAATATGAATCATTAAGGTTATGGTAACCCGGTCTTTTTATTGTATAAGTAAAGAAGTGTAGAATTTTCGTTACAGCAATCTTGCCCAAGCTCCTTTACAAGGCCTTTCAAAATCTAGCGGCCTCTTCCGGATGAAGGATATAGACTCGAGTTAGAATGAAGAGGGATCAGGCAGGAAGAGAAACAACAAACCATCCTAAACAGGTGCCGGGAAAGGCAAGGGCAAGCCATACATAACAACCTCTGTGTCTTCTCTGGAAGATGATAATGAATACAGGAGGCTGTACGTACCATACATACTCGTTTGGGCAAGACCACTGTAATTAGTCTCGACTGGTTATTATAATCCTTAGTCAATATGGTTAACCTGGCACTGGTGCATCGGAGGAATATGGCCTATGGCCGGTTAACGGGCAAGAACGCTGCACTTTTGACGTTATCAGTTCATTAAACGAAAAATTCTTCCATATTTGGTCATCAGTAGCTGGTTATGAATTATGCGTGTACTTTTAGTCAATCAGAATCGGGGAAATATTTTGAATGAATAATAAGAATTAAATTCCTTAACAAAGGCTGGGCCTGAATTTTTTTTTCAAATTTTCCCCATTGCTGAAAAAATTCGTTTTCCCAAATTGCGCCGTCAATGTGTGAATCTTGGCCGTTCATTACTTTCTCGAAGGAAACTACCATTCCCCTTTAGTTCCTAGTGACTGCATCCTCCATCTCATCCCTTTTCCTGACGCCTTTCTCCCTGGCCAGCTGGTGCCAATATAGGGTGATCTGTAAGGAAGCCTAATTGTTGCCATACAGACCTATGTCCTATGGCTAGATAATACAGAGTACGCCTTCATCTCCTAATTAGACTTGACTAAAGGACCAAATATTCAATGAAACTCAAGCGCAAGCAATTCTATCGCCAAGCCACAATAAATATAACATACACTAACTTACAAGGAAAACAAATATTGCAACCGCGCTTGTTTGTCCACTTTTAGAGAAAACCAACCCTACTCCAAAACCAGACTACGATGAGCATTCCCGAGTGTAAACTTTTGCTTCTGTGTTTGTCGTATGCCTTCAACAACAGAAAAAAAGAAACCTAAGCACGCGACTGACCGAACACAAACGAGCGACGAGGAATGGCGACGTCAACAATCACATTGCTGGGCACCATTTACAGACGAAACATCAAACTGGGACTGACTGGGACTCTGCGACATGTATAACGTATTTTACAGACTACTATCAACGTCTTACTTTAGAAAGCTGGTTTGCTAACTTAGAAAAAACGCCACTGAATCGTAGCCAACAGTTACCAGCACCGTATAAACGACTTATTGACGAGATCAAGCAAAACTAACTACGAGAGAACGACTGGAAACTGACAATTTGACTAACAATAGACGACGGATCTAATTGACCAATCAGATCAATAACCAGAGTATAATACCATCAACTGACGTGATACAACTCACTTTGACCCTGAAGATGACTACCGCACAGGTTGTTGGAAACGTCAGTCACTGTCAACAACAACAGTCCTATTCAGGACTACTTTCACCCGGACGATTAAACTCAACCTACTTTAGAAAAAAAATTATAAACGTGGTACAAAGTAGTTATCAGAGCTGCGCAAACTGCACAAATCTTTGAGTAGTCTTCTTTCTTCTGTAGCACGAGACGCAGATAGCGATAGCCAACAGCAAAATGGCGGTCACACCAAGTGATATGTAAATGATCTTATTAATGGAGGTAGAATTTCTTGGAGAAGGTTTCGTCGTTGCTAAATAGGAAATGATGTAAACTACTGAGTATTTTAAATCAGTGGCGAATGGGAAGCTTTTGCCAAAAAGAACAAATTCCAATTCTATCTGAAACGCACGGACGCGTTTCAAAGAGTTCTTAAGAACTCTAAGTGCCCCTTGGGTAAACAAATTACAATTTTACAAATTTTTTTTTCAATGTGGTTACATTTTATCTCATTGAAGAGGTTTAATCATGCACGATAGTAGTCTTTTCTACTGAGTATCCAGCCGTATAAACAGTTTCAACTGATGTCGAACAGCGCAGCGACGTGACTACAATGGAATAGGGGAGTTTCCACTACTCTTGCGCATGGTGTGCTCCCTCTTCTCCTATTTTCCTATTTTTACTGTATCACTCCGCGAATTTCAATTGACTTATTTCTTAATTTGAGACCGGGAAGCCCAGGCTTCATAAGCCTTCTGGTTTCTTCTGGGCTCCCTTGCCAACTTACAACCCCTCTATGCATTCTTGTATTGTATTACATTTTGGCTAAATAAAAATGAACTGAACTGAATAGCTGCTCATTACAGCGCTACCCCGGCATTAAGACGTTTCTGGTACTCTTACATGAACATGATCATAAAGCAAGTCCATGTGAGAGCTTCAACTGACGGTACAGTTATTTAGCTGGTTTTATAGATCCGGTTAGTAACCCATTTTACAGTTCCAGGTAAAAACGAGGCTGGAGTTGACCTTGTTATGATACAAACCTCCCTGCTATATATATATATTTATATATACATACACCCGTTTTCAAAATGGTTTTCATATAGAGATATATATAGATAGATATTTAGTTTTGTTTTGTTGCACGTGCGCCCGTGCGCATTTTTCACTTCTTATTGTCCAACTTGCGAAAAAAACTCCGTTCAACGTTAAATTCTCTCTTCGTCAGGTTCTTTGGTCCAATTTGTCAATAAAAAAGAGAATGCACGAATATTGTCTGCAATTCTCTGGATTTGCATTCTTTTGAAAATTAAGAATGCGGAATTCGGTCAGTTGTAGGTCATATAATTGTTGTAGTTACAGGATAAGGAGAAAATCATCAAAGATTTTCATTTTACAACAACGCAGATGAAATGTAAAAAAAAGTGTTTTCGAAACCGCTGATTTTTTTTTCTGAGAAGGAAGATGTGACGGTGGATGTCGCTATTGGATATGTGGGAAGGAGCAAAAATATCATAGCAGTTGATTAAAAAGAACCAAGACGTTGGCTAGGTTCATAGAAGTAGATTTTATCATAACCATGATGAGCGTGTCATATATATATTAATGTCTCACCTTTTGTCGCGTAAAATCACGGCCTGTAAGGCAACGTCTCACTGAAGACAGAATAAACTTTCGGCCACAAATGTTTTCAAGTTAGTTTAAAAGTTTCTCTTAAGCACGCCCCTGGACAGCGCATTTTTAATACACACCGTCAATAAAAATGCTTCGCCACTTGCTTCAGATGCCATGACATTTGGCCTCACAATTTGGTGACGCCGCATAACTCGGCTGCTTCGCGGGCTGTTTTCCTCATTCCCAAAATCAGTCATATAATTCGCCATTGCAAATTTGTATTGCAGGGCGGATGCTTTTTTCTAAAAAAAGCTCAAACGACATGTTCTTTTCAAATTGGAACAAAGAACCCGACGAAGAAAAATTTTATCGTTGAACCTACTTTTTTCACAAGTTCGACAATAGCAAATGAAAAATGCACACGGGCGCACGTGCAAGAAAACAAAAGTACATATCTACCTATATATCTCTCTATATGAAAAGCTTTTTGCAAAAGGGTGTATATATATAGTATGTGAACTACTCAAATCCTGAGTGCATGGGTGTTTGGACTGTTCGTTATATATATATATATATATATATATATATATATATATATATATATATATATATATATNTCTTTTTCCAGTATTTTAAAGAGTTTTCCTCTTAGTTCGCTTTTAAATTGATTTTTTTAAGTGTTTTGATAGAAAGTGGAATACTGTTCCAAATCAAAGCATCGGAAATAGAGAAGGCTCGCTTCATATTTTCAGTTCTGACTTGTTCAACATAGTAGTTTTCCCTAGTA